TATCAGATCTCTCAACACTTTTTATTAATGGATATATCTAATTGCTTTTTATACTGTAGGATGACGCTACTCCTCTCCGGATGGCCGGAAAACTCTGAATCGCGCCAGCGGATGTTGCAGAGCTCGTCCAGTGCCAATTTTCCCAGCGCATTATCCTATCAAAAAGCACGTTTGATTTTTACAGTATATTTATCAAAAAAGCTATCTATGCTTTAGAAAAACAATACAAAATATATAGACAGGCTTGCTTAACTCCATTGTTTTTTCTTTTTATTACGAGGAATGTCACTATAACTTCTCCACTAATCAATACAAGAGTGCCGGAAGTATGGCTGTTAGAGATGTCCTGCAATGACATACGCAAAACTCTTGGTTCGACCCCTTGCTGTACCAAATTAGCCGCAGTTTTGCTACCGCCAACGATTTACACTAGACTTGACAGGGAAGAGTTCCATTCTATCGACAAAGACCGGTGACCACCTATGACGCAGAGCTCTAGTAGAGTTATGCTGGGATTTCAAGGAGGATTAACTCAACGAGCATTCGAAGACAACATTTACGAAGAAGGCAAAGTTGTCAGGACGAAGCCGAATCCACAGATAAATTCAAAAACCTTCGCTCATGATAAAATCGAAACGTCGAAAGCAAGAAATGAAATAAAGAAGCCCTATGATCCATATATGTGATGTCGGATTCTACAAGTAAGACGAAAGCGATGATTAGTAGATCCGTACTTTGCTAATTCCTGGTTACCTCGAAAAGTATCGATTATTACTGTAGATCAAAAAGTTCCAATAAATACGATGATTGAGCCCTAAGTGTTAGTTCACCCAACCGAGACGAAGTGTTCATACTTCCATTTCATCAAAAAAAAAGAAGTACTCGTTCGAAAAATTTCTAATGTATGTCGGAATTCCTTTGCCACTTCAGCATGAGCGCTAAATATTCTCGCCTTGTCGGAGTATAATTTTTTTCGTTACCAGTGTCAAGGAAAACTGAAAGAATGATGAATAAGATAGTTGGTTCATTTCGAAGGTTGCAGATCACACTGCTGTCTTCCTATCTCACTGGGTTATTATTTTGTCCTCCCAGACCAGTCGCTTAGTTTGCCTGGTGCGTTCGATCGGACCAACGACCATTTGCGTTTTCGAAGCACCTCTAGCTACTGCGCCAGACAGTTTACTTCACTAATAAATTATAGCAGTTTTTCGTAATATTAACAGTAGTAAATGCTTTTTTGCGAAGCCCATCTGGGTGGAATTTTGCCAGTTTGCCTTAGTTTTATACAAAATAGTGGACGTCATCGGTGTCATCGAAACCTGTCTTGACGATTTCGATCAATAGTCTATGAAAACACTTTCTGAAATGATTCCAGGAATTTTTTCCCTTTCTATTACATTCACTTAATTTGTTTTAATTCCGATTACTTGAGTGGAAAGACATTTAGAAACCAGAAAATGAGTTCCTATAAAACATCCATTTAGTTTAATTCATTCGCGTGAAAGCTTACGTGTTCAGATAATATGAGTCTGCTCCGTCTTAAAGCAAGGAAAAAATTAAGCCTATAAGTCGTTGAAGGTCTTCCTAAAGTGCAAGTGAAAGCCTTCAGTTGCTTCTACAAAGTCGCTCCATTCATGCTTCAGTGCTTCTATGCTTTTTTATACATCACATATTTTTGCACACTATTTATACATAATTTTTACACCTTATGCACATTTTGGCCTGAGGCTCAAGTTTTGCTGATATTTCAACATCGTTTTGGTTGTGTTAATATTTCACATAGTTAACTTTTTATTTACTACCTATTACATTTTTCACGGCAAGGTATTATGTATAACACACACAATAATCCAGGGATATTTGCAAGATCCGGGAGCGCAGATGTCTGCGGTGGGGAACGAACGCGCTACTACCCATTCCTGGGGCTAACACTTTCACCACCACACCATGCGACTCTTTCGTTTCGTGTGCCTCTCAGCCAGTACTATTTCACATAGTATCCTGCCATTAAAAACAGTAGGTAGTAAATAAAAAGTTTAACATTGTGATATGTGACATACACTCTTTTCGTTATTTTTACACCCGAATTTTCTCTTCATTTAAACTTTGTACAAACAGAAATCAAAACCTTCTGTTTGGAAAGCAAAATCTATTCAGATTGATTTGTGAAAAAATGCCCTTTTACACGTTCTGGACGCTCCATTTTTATTGAAAATATGATGAATTAAAATTTACAACTCTATAGAAGGGCACGTGTGGCGCAGTGGTCGGAGGCGCCACTGCAACACACACGTGGATTCCATCCCCGCGCCCATAGCCCACCAACTCTTCCATCCCTGCGGGGTCGGCAAATTGGTACTAAACTTGTCTGGGAGGATAGCAACACTGGCTTGATATATCGGTAGGTCACCTCGAGTCATTGTAAAAGCCAGATACACATTCAATCATCTCCAACGATAGTTAATGAAGTCGAATGCATGGCGCATCCCTCAGGGACTGATCAACGCCGAATGCTTTTTTAGAGCTTTATGGAGAAGTCAGGTGTATTTTTGAAAATTCGTAAAACCTTTCCCGGTAGAAATAGATGACCGATTGATTACTTGACACTTTTAATATTCTGATCTAAAAACAACTTGTTGTATACTCGTTTTGCTTTCTGTTTAACTCGATTTGCCTTGATGCGATTGGAGAAGCTCCTACGTAGAAAATTATCGTAGTGTGGGCGATCAACTCAAACTGTCGTGACTCTGAAAATCGCGATGTCGCTGAATCGTTCACCTGCAAAAAGAAATTGGCATCATGCTTATCTATGAAATAAATTTGTGACTGGTAGTGGTAACGTTGAATGAAAAACGATTTTTACAAATTCTTGATTAATATTTCAGGTTACAAAACTCCAGTTGGGTTTGAATCTGTTGCAACGGTGCAAAACGGCTTTGGTGTTCCTGATCACACCGATTGCCTTCAGCCCACTGGTGATTTCCAACGAAAAGGTACATCACCACCATTTTTTAAAGTTATGTGGAGTTTTTTTCTCTCGGAAATCACTCGACAATTTGGCTTTTCCCACCTCTCGTCAGCTATTCTGTTTCAATTGCGCGAAAATTGTAATTTTTCGATGACGTTGAGATATTTGCAAAACTCCGAACCACAGGTGTCTGCGGTGGGGAACGAACGAGCTATTACTTTTTCCGAGGGCTAACGCGTTCACCACCACACCATGCAGGTCTAACGTTTCGTAGATCGTAAATCATCGCACACGGGTCCTTGAAAGAAGGCAGATCTTTACAATGTGCTTTCCAGAACCAATCATATTTGAACGGTATTCGGCTCACAAAGTAAATTTATTGACATCATGTCAACAACTAATTTGAATCGGACTATTTTTGCTCAAAATTCTATTCGTTTTTCTCATGTGAAAACTAATCAAGCGTGTAAAAAATATCTAATATCTCCACCACTTGCTCGACGGCCTGTTGTCTTGTAAGCTCGTTCAATTGCTCTATGGCATTTTAACGCATTTTCTAAACTGTTTTTTACAGATAAGTTATATAGAGATAGATAGATATAAATCCCTGAGGGATGCACAATGCATTTGACTTCATTAAGCATCGTTTGAAGGTGATTGAATGCATATCTGGCCTTTACAATAACTCGCGGTGGTCTACCGATGTATCTAGCCGGTGCTACTATCCTCCTAGACAAGTCTGGTACCAAATTGCCGACCCCGGAGTGATAGAAGGGTTGGTGAGCCATGAACGCGGGGATCGGGATCGATCCCATTTGTGTGTTGCACGGCGCCTCAAACCACTGCTCCACACGGGTCCATGTAAGTTCTATATAACTTCTAAACTAAACCTCTCTGAAGTGATTTATTTCATTTATAAAATCTTTTTGCTGCGTCAAGGATTTATTCTTCCTTATATCCTGAACGATAAGGAAGGAACCGGAATTGAGTACTCTTTCATAACCTACGAAGGTAATTTGTGTCTATAACTCAAAAATGAAGCTGTGAATATCTTTTGTTATTTATTTCTACAATTTCTCGGCCATCAACTGTTAGGTTACACCTCAAAATGCACGCATAAAATATCTTCATAGTGCCTATTTGAACTGTTACACAGCTGGGCTGTAGTTAATTTTGACCTTTGCGACATAAATCATTCCAGAAATTCGAGAGCTGGACTAAAATTCTAACATATATCCGCTTGAGTTTTTTGCTTCCGGTGCAAGTGTCTGTAGAGTAATGCCAAACCACCTTTCTTTCCGCGAACGACAACTGTTTGTGACGAAGAAAATCAGCTTTTATTCAACGGCACCTCAGCTAGGGATAATGTGGATCAGTTGGCGATGATGTTCTAGGGTCAACAGAGCACTTGAATAATTTATTGTTAGGATAGAGCTATTGTCTTTGCTCACTGGGTTGCATGTGATTATGACACTGGAAAAATCTGGCACGGTTTTCCAAGAAAAGAGAATTTCTGCTCAAGTAGTAGTTTTTATGTCAAATGGAAACTGTGCTGCCAGATACACGACCTTTTATGATTCGTAAGGGCCGGCCAATCATTTATGAAGTATACCCGTCTTTGTGGCTCATTGGTCGGGGGAGAACTGCAATATACATGGGATCGATTCTTGTGCCTATGGCCCACCAAGCCTTCCATTCCTCGAGGGTCGGCAGTTTGGTACCAGACCTGTTTGGAAGGATAACAGCCCTTGCTCGATACGTCGATAGGCCACCGCCAATCATTCTAGAGGTTCTATTTTCTATCTATTTAGAATGCCAAATATGCATTCGATCACCTCCAAACGATGCTTAATGAAGTCGAATACATTGCATATCTCACAAGGATTGATCAACGCCGAGAGCGTTTTTTATTAACCCATCTCTGTATTCGTAAAACACTGTGTTCTAGTTTGAAAGAGATCATTTGCTTTGCCAATTTACCCTTTTTGTGCTGTATTTAAAGGAATGGCGTTGTGCGTTCTGTGTTTGTGTGATGGCAGTGTACTGGATGACGGAAGTGCTACCGTTGGCTGTCACTGCTATGCTTCCGGTTGTTCTCTTCCCGTTAACTGGTGTAATGACATGCCATGATGTTGCTCAACAGTTCATCAACGTGAGCCAGTTATTGTCATTGAATTATTGATTTTTTTGCTTTCGTGAACACAGTTTTATTTTCATTTATATTCCTTGAAATATTGGATGACAAATGTAAGTGCTTTTATATTCCTGTCATGATGTCACTTCCTTCATTGAGCTCGATCGGATAGCATTCCTCGGTCAGATTCCACAATCACAAATCCATTGACGTCATCAACGAGGACAGCGGGGCGCCTGTCTATAAACATATTAAAATTGCAGCAATCAAACTGGCAACGAGAAAAAATGGTGGTGTTTGAGATTGGCAGAAGTCTCGAGGAAGGGGACTAATTTATAATGCAAGCTGTACAAGCTTTTTCACTAGAAAGAGTTAAACCAAATTACCATAAGCTGCTGTGGTTTGTGTCATCTACCTGGACCTCTGTAGGCGAAAAGGATGTTCGAAAAGACAAAGTTGGTCACTTTATCGTTTGTACTGATCTCCATCTGATTCGTTGATTTCAACCAATCTGCGATTGCCTTTAAATTTGTTTAAATGCTTCTGAATCTAGTGAGATATCTATCGAACTGTAAGCTGGTTATTATAAAGCCTCCTATGCTTAACACAGACTAGATATTTCTATTCTTATAGTGGGAGTACGAGAGATAGAATTTTTATTCACAATTTAAGCGGGTAAAACTATTAGGAAAAGGTTGTCGGCTATCGATAGGTACACAACAGAAAATTTTCCATCAAACTTGCACTTCCTCAAAAAATCACGGCCAAGAAAGATGTTAGGTAGACTGACAATATTTCTTGTATTTCTGAAATCGTACTCTGAATAAACTTATAACTTTTCTTGCCTTCAGATGCTCTTATTAGAAGTACGAGAGGATCATCTAAGGTCGCAGGTGTCTGCGGTGGGGAACGAACGCGCTATTGTCCTTTCCGGGGGGTAACGCGTTCACCACCACACCATGCTGGTCCTTCGTTTCGCCTGTCGCTCAGCTAGTTCTATTGGTCTTTTGCTATCAGCAATATATACTCTGCCGTTAAATTAAGAAAGAGTAGGCAGAAAATAATAAGTTAAAATTGTCATCTAAAGTCGATTACCCGAGGTCGCCCCTATAATAGTGGAGAGGTCGTAGGGAAAACTCAAAACACGCAATGTAGCGGTCATTTCAACGCTTATTTTTGTTTTTTTATCTTTTGAAAGACGTTTAAAGGTGGAAAAACAGAATGAGTGGGTGTCGCATGAAATGGACAAACAACAGCGAAACCGTCATCATGAAATGTGTTCTGCATTTTTTCTACAAAGCAAAAGCAAAAAACTTTTCGATTTCATTATGATTGAGCTGTGAGAACTGGATCTCACACACCAACCGACGGCACTAGACTCGATGTTTGAGCTGAGGCGATGTTCTTAAGCACTTTTCGAGGTTCGATTTGTACCAAGTCAGGTTCTGATGACATTTGCGTCTTCCTAATCTGCAGTATTGGTAAGACGATCACGACAGTGAGATAATGTCAGAAAATCGACTAAATCGTACGAAAACTAGAGGTATGTATCCACGGATGGTCAATGAAAGTGATGTAGTCCTTTTACACGACAACGGCGACACGTCGCAAATCTAAGGCTGCAAAGGTTACACGAATTACGCCACGAATCGCGGCTCGAGTCACCACGGTAGACCTCCTACTAATCAAACATAGCTTTCTTCAAGCATCTCAAAAATGTTTGTCTGAGAAACACTCCAACAAATAAACCGCTCCCTGAAAATTCCTCCGTATAGTTGTTTGCTTCCAGAAAATCAGAGCTTTATTTACTCCGTGAAAGTCACTTGAATCATGTTAAAGTGTGCTGATCCCAACGGTTCTCTCTATGATTTTTATAGTTGCGGTTAGGCCTATTAATTATTTCACTACACGAGAACATATTTTTCTGCACCAAGTAGTATTTTCTATGAATAGTCCAGTATTGTCGATTTTTATCCATTTAGGACACAAATTTCCTTTTCATCGGCGGCCTGATCATGGCGGCAGCCGTTGAAAAGTGCAATCTACATGAACGTGTCGCGCTGTCGGTGCTGAAGATGGTCGGTAGTGAGCCGAAATGGTGAGTTCATAAGGTCCTTGACGTATTTAGTTTTAGCTCAGTGTAGCTTTATAATCAAAGTATTGAAAATTTCTCTGATAAGCCAGTTTTCTAAAGTTTTCTTTTCTTTATTCAGAACGACTTTTTAGGATTATGCTGGGTTTCATGATTGTCACTGCGTTATTAAGGTTTGTTTAATAAGTTTTCTTGCGAAATTATTTGTTAATAAAAATTTAAAATGAATTGCCTGAATAATCAAAAGCATTTCTCAACGATCTTTTTGTCCTATGAGCTTATTAACACGGTTTTACTTGGATGCTTGGATGGCCTCTCCTCTCTAGTGCTGACCCCAGCATAATTTCCATTTTTCGGAGTTTTGCTAGTTTTAGCCATTGTGGTTTCCTGGAGTCCTGAGGTCAGCCAGGCCAAACTTTGCTCCAGGTCGCCACCACCACTATCAGTCTCCGCCTTTGTGGATCAAAGGGAGATTTGCCACCATGCGACTAGTTTGATACCAGGACTGTGGTGAATCCTGATATTGCTTTGCTCTTAGCTGGGCTTCCTGACCGAAACGCCGGCCTCCTTCTCAGCTTGGTAGACGTTGCTAAGGGGTTGAATCACCGACTGTACATCGCAGTCGGATACCTAGGAACACCTCCCAGCCACGATGAGGCGGCAAACCATTGGGACGTATTAGCACACTAATGGAAATTATTATAATATTTCAAGTATTGAGTAGCAAAACAGCCATCGTTCAGTTTCAAAGGTTTCATAACACTGTTAGTAATAATCCCTCTTCCTAAACGGGTTTAATAAAGTCAGATATTGGAGTATTCGATTTGATCATCTAAGTATCCCGACTATTGTCACTGGGATTTTATTAACCTATATTATAAACGATGTAGGCCATTTCAGTATGTTCATTTCAAACACGGCCACTGCGGCGATGATGGTACCGATCGGACAATCGGTAGTCGATCAGCTCATAACTTCGTACAATTCGCATCCACAAAACAGGTTAGTGTTATGCAAAGTCAAAAGAATTAAACACGTAGCGTTTAGCCTTGACCTATCTCTATGAATGCGTCATACATTTGACTACAATCCTAGTATCGTAGAGGTGATATACTGCATGTCTTGCTTTACAATGATTTGCAGGGGACTATCGATGTATCAAGCCAGTGCTGCTTTTCTCCCAGACATCTAGTTGTGATATGACAGCACCAAGTAGGCGGCAGGCCTGGCTAGTCCACGGCGTGTGATCGAACCGGTGACCATGTGTCTATTTCATGGTACTTTTAACCACCACGCTCTCCGTTCCTCACACATTTCCCACATTAGGAGAGAAGAAGCAATGTCTGTTTGAGCACTTTTAGTAAATTAACGCTTAATTGAAAAGGGTTGGATTGTCGAATAATGAATAGTCCAATGTTTTCATGCATCCCCAGCTATAAATAGTTTCTATGGCCGAATTTCAGTTATGCTTGGCATTAAAAAAAATAAAGGATAAAGCTCTAGGCGTTGATCAATCCTTGAGGGCTGCGTCATCCATTCGACTTCACTAAGTATCGTTAGAGGGGATTGAATGAATAGTTAGCCTTTACAATGACTCGCGGTGGCCTACCGATGTATCGAGCCAGTGCTGCTATCCTCCCAGACAAGTCTGGTACCAATTTGTCCACCTCGGAAGGATGGAAGGTTAGGTGAGGCATGGGCGCCAGGATCGATTCCACGTGTGTGTCGCAGTCGCGCCTCCAACCATTACTGGGCATTACTCCAACAAATTTCTGTATTTCTGTTAAGCGGATACAAAGTTGTTGTTACGACACCTGTGAAGGAATATTTAAATCTTCGATGACTCCCATCCTCAGGGTTCACAATGAATTGCGAAGAGACCCAGCAAAGTTTCCATTTGACTGATAATTCTCTCTTCATATAGCAAATTTCCCTTCAAGAGTTTTGAAAGCCGTGTCATTTGCAATTATTCCTTTAAATGGTTCATTCTTTGTTGAGCTACCGTTGTAATCGTTGAATACTGCTCAGCTTGTGAGACCTCGTATGAGAAATGGACCCTCCATTATAGCCACCATTTCGATACCCAGGAACAACCATGATGAGGCAGTACACAACCGGAAGCTTTTTCAAAACCACAAGCTCTTCCGGGTTTCGTTTCTTTCAGGATTCGGATAGGTACACATTAATATCTAGCTTAATCGGTCAAACTGTTTCGAAAAGCATGACGAAAAAATAGGAAGCCAAAAATTCAATTACAGGGTTGACAGCGCTATAAAAGTTCGCCTTTTTTGTGCCGTTCTCTTCTATTCACATGAGATGAGTAATGTGTCCGCTCTGGTCTGGGGCAATTAATTGAAATCAGACGTGGGAACTGATCACAGAAGAGTTCGTTTCCACGGTTCATTTTTTGCCTATGCCGAAAAAACCAAAAGTATTATGGATTAAATATATAATCTTCACTTTTTATCTACTGCCTACTATTTTTTAATAGTAGGGTATTATATGAAATGTAACCAAAATATTGCTGAGATATTTGCAAAAAAAGCTGCGGACCGCTGGTATCTGCGGTGGGGACCGAACACGCGATTACCCTGGTCAACAACACGCCTGAGAGACAAGCGAAACAAAAGGCTCGCATGGTGTGGTGGTGAATGCGTTAGCCCCCAGAAAGAGTAATAACGTTTCAGTACTTGACCGTCCTCACGAGGAATCGTATGGATCTCAGAACATTTTCGACATAACTGCTACGTCTCTTGCTTAACAAAGGATTTATTCTGGAGGTTTCGAGATTCCCACTATAGAATTTCTTTAGATCGCCGACATGGGTAATTTTTGTCCAGGAGGAGGTCTATTACTGTACAGTTAGATTGCAACCGAAACAATGACGATTGTTGGCGTCGGCATAACTATTGCTGAATTTTTGGATTACTATTTCCAAACTGTTCCTTAGCTTGGTAGCTTTGCTGAGGCAATCTCTAGAGAAGAGGAAATCAGTATTTTGTTTCATCCATGCTTTTGACGATGAATGCTATGCTTCATCGTTACAAAACTGTGCTTGCTTTTATAGTTTTTTTATGTTAATGATTGTTGATTTATGGACACGATTAGACAGCCGACACAACTGTTCAACTGCTGACCGACTTTTTAGGGTCAGAAATGCGGGAGCCTACAAGCGATTGTCGACCGCTCTAGTGTTGTGCGTTTGTGTTGCGGCAAACATCGGTGGCACTGGAATGCTAACTGGAACCCCAAGCAACCTCGTAATGGTGGGCCAGTTACCTGAGTGAGTGAACAGTTCATCGGCATCAAGAAAGAATTTTGTGTTACGAAGCATAGATTCTGCATTTGAGGCTATGGAGTTTAGTGGTTTATATGCTTAAAAGGATAAAGGATCGAGCTCTCAGCCTTCATATATCTCTGAAGGATGCGACATTAGGCATCGTTGGTGATGACTGAATGCATATCTGGGTTGTACAATGACTCGCAGTGGTCTACCGATTATATACTCAGAAAACTAAAATCGTGTTGAAATATTATAGGTGCGAATTTCTTTATTACGAAATAAAAGGGTTACGCATCCCAAAGATGGTTTGGCGTACATGCTTGTTTGACCTGAACACCTTTTGTTTGACCTTTTTTTACGGGCTACAAGTGTATCAAGTTAGCGTTTCTTTCCTCAGAGGCAACCCTAGTACCACGTTATAGGGACGAAGTCTATGGCTTCCCCGGTGTGTGTGTTTGAACCCATGACGATTGTTATTATCTTTAGTTATAGCCAATACCTATTTTACGTACCATACATATGCCTTCGGGCTTCTAGCTGATCTTCAAACATCGGTATTACTCATTTCGATACTTGGATAGCTCGTCCTCACTGGTTGCGCGGGGCCCACCATAATCTCCATTTGTTCGGAGTTTTATGGGTTTACCCATTGTGGCTCCCTGAAGTCTTGAGGTCCGTCAGGCCTAATCTGTCTCAGATCTTTTCCACCATAGGCAATCGCCACCTTTGTGGATCAGAAGGAATTTTGTCACCGAGCCACTAGTTTGATACCAGAACGATGGTAAATTCTGGTATTCTTAACATCGATATTATCATCATAGATATTAGTTTTGACGGGATTCAACTGGTTGTAGAAGAATACCACGCTTACAGAATGACAAGACGATGTCATGAACTCTACGCGAGAGTCCGAAATCCACTAGCACCTGACATCTGTTTCAAATATCATTAGAAAGTGTTCCTTGACTTCTCGGATGTACCGCGTCATCCATACCTCACTACACATCGGAATAAAACTTGCGAAGGAAGATTTCCCAGTCGCAGTCCTTTCGAGACATTTTTGCTTCTAATTGTGAGTTCAAATGACCGTTATAGTCTTAGCCATATATGAGTTCCATAGTTGGACTTCTAAGCAAGAAAATCGGCCACTGCACTTCGATTTCGCTGACCTGAAAACAGTGACATGTTAAAAAATCGAGCTTAATTAGTTTTAAGAGTTGAGGATCGATGGTGACCTTTTGATTTGAATGAACGAAAAAAGAGTGAACCATAAGAATGAAATGTTAAGCCAGTGACAGTTGTTCGGAAGTTCTAAACCTTCAGCTTTTTGAGGGAGATATTACACTGCATGGTACACGATCTTCACTCTGGACCACAAAATTAAATAAATTTTCAAGCATTTATATGAACCACAAGTAGATATTCAATTTTAAAAATGTTCTTTCAATCTGGACCTTTCCTAATGTTCGTTTTACAGCCGACTTGTAATACTCAACATTGTTTCATTGCTCTCTAAAGTGAAAAAAGCAGTCTTACTAATTTGAACGAACATCATGAGATTTTCTATCGAGGGTTTGCTTTTTAACATTATATTTAAATGAGTTTTAATAAAATTCATAAGGAGAATTCAGAATCCTGAAATTTCCAAGCAATGCTTTTTGACGCACATGGCTCAAGTCTCTTGAACGTTTCGCCAACTTACATATCAAACGTTGAAAACATGAATTATGTAAAAAGTGAATATGTAAGGAACAACTGGTTGCGATACAGTGACTAGCCTAAAGTGACAGTAGTGGGTGACTTAAAGGGATTATTCCGGGCTTGCCGAATGATGTACCAGTAGGCCGAAGAACGTGCACTTTGCGTCCGAATTAATCTGGAAACGTGATTACTGCGAATGCTCATATTGGCCTATTGACTTAAGCGTTTGCACTTGTGTAACTTCGCATTCTTTGATTTCGTATTTCCTGAATTTCACTTTCAGTGGGAGCGCAAGTTTGTACGAAAAGTGATATTCGCAAGAGATAGGTGTCCGTCTTTGTACAAGTGCACCAGAGCTCAGATATCGGGTCACTAAAATAAAGAGAAAACGAAGAACGATGATAGACCTTTTTTGATATTATAGAATTGAAGAACTAATGAGGTGGTATCTGAGCCTGTTAGTACAGTACCCTTGGCGAACAAACCCGTCCATCTGTCCAGGTTTTGCAAATTACTAGCAGACTTCAATACGAGTGACCCATTTCGTACCGGTTCTGACACTAATGCTCTAGTGATAGTAATTCTGGTTCTAATAGTTTTAATATTGATAATCTCGTTGTATATTTTTCATTAACTGGAATGTTTACTTTTATACGAGCTGATAAGCATTGTTGTCTTTTTTTAAATTACATTTAATCCTCTGTTTCATGAAAACCTTCACAAGTGGTTCTAGGAGTGTTGCTGAGACATTATAGAACTACAAAACCTTTTTCTGAAGGTAGAACTTGAGCACTACGGTTTCGTATTTAGATGCTTTAATGGTACTATTCGTGACGCGAGAAGAAGAGTGTGGGCTACAAAAATATTTGGCCTACTTCTTTCTAAGAAAATATCGTTGCAGATTATTTGGCGACGTTGAGACGTCTTTGAATTATATGACATGGTTCCTGTTCGCATTTCCGTTGATGTGCTTCTGTTTGGCGGGAGCTTGGTGCATTCTGACCATATTCTTCCTTAGAGGTGCACCCGGAAAAGATGCTCGTATTACCGAGATAATGCACAAGAGATACGATGATTTACCTAGAATAAGGTGGGTGGCGATGGTATTTCAATAACACCAACTGTAGAAATTTTGACCACCTATAATTCTGCTAATTATATGCTGTTTGTGTGGCACCGATAGACTCGGCTTTTATTCCTTTCGAGTGAGCTCTGCTCGCTCAAAATGACGATTGGCGTTACAGTTTCTCAATTAGATGCTTTATTTTTATGGTTTTTGGTGAAAGAATAGACACGGGTTGCTTGCCGTGCTATTCTGTGGCATTGGTTTTTACCTAGTTCTGTATGAAAATCTCAAATCCTTTTTTAGCTTGAGTTACATTTGTAGAAAGAATCCGCCACCTAAGTAGCATCCTATGGTCTTTATGGAGCTCTTATTTTTTTCCATGCGCGAAATGCGGTACTGTTAGATGGTTAAGTAGATGGTGAGGTTCCTTATTTGAACATTGGCAATATCTGGGCAATATTTGTTCCTTTTCCTTTTGTTTCTTAACCGTCGTTGTGCAATTTTGCTCTTCTTTTCTAGCTATGCAGAAAAATCCGTAATGTTCTGCTTCATTGTTCTTCTCTCGCTGTGGATGTTCAGAAAACCAGGATTTTTCAAAGGTATTTCCCTATATTCTCGCAAATTTTGCCATATTTTGAAAAGTTACTTTATACCATTCCTACCGAATGAATTGCGTAATAGAAACAATAATGACAATTTCCTCCTCAACTTGGACTTAATCCAAACGATGGAAATCTAGCTAGGTATTCTTTTATTTCCGAGCTTTTTTTGAGCACATCATTGTTTCTTACTGTTACTTAGTTAACATCTCCATCGATCGATCGCATTCCACATAAATGGCCTTGTCCCAAAACACCCGCGGTTGCGAGTTAAATGCGCCCAAGTAACCATTATTGTTTGCCAAATTTGCTGAAGTGCCGGGCTTGCAAGTTTTCCTTCAAAAGTAGGAACAAAGTCAAAATCAAACAGCATATTGTTATGAAGTGTCTAAGCATATTCCCTCCATAAACGATCGCCAGAGTCCAAACAAGACATCTTGAAAAAAGTACGAAAACACAGAAAACCTTGCGGCTCTACTCGTCTATTTTTGGCCTACGACATCTGCCCTTCCATTGGTAGCCAGCAGGTGAAAGAGATGCGGGTAATTTATCATCGTCGGTCACAAGCAAGTTTAAAAATATCCTTTCTGTAATAGAAGAACACCCAAGAAACTTGCTTCGTACTAGCCGATGTGGAATCATGATCTTATTCTACGCTAGGAGACCATTCAATGGTGAAGTGATGGTATCCAAGTGCTTCGGCCATTCACGCGTACTTGCACACAAACGTCCGACAGAGTTTACTGAAACTGACAAAGGTGTCCCAATTCCGACCACTGTGGCGTTGAATGCTCATGTCACCGTCTCGACCGGAAGAGAGGTGCTGAGATCAGCGCCGTAATCGATGTGAGGTCGTATGAATAAGTATAGTAGAAGAACATTTTACCCTGAAGCTTGATGTCAAGATGTGGAGAAATTAATAATTTGTTATGATCTGAGATATGTTTGCGCTTGAAAACGGGATTTTTTCATTCGCCATACGCATCGGCATCGTTGCATGTAAGTGTTCCGTGCAAATACGGTAGAACATACGAGCATCATCTCGTTCAGGTTTTGGCGAACTCCTACCGAGAGAGAGTTACACAGACTCAACGTCGGCTATGGTAGTTGCTGTTCTTCTTTTCATTCTACCAAGTGAGAAACCAGCGGTCCTTAGCTACGGAGCAAAGGAAGAAATGAGTAAAGTGAGAAACACTCATTGGCCTTCAGTCGTTTAATTTCTTGAGAAGTATTAATTTGGAAGAAGAAAGTGTTTAGGAATCTCATTTAATGGACTGGTCGACGATGCAGAAGAATTTTCCTTGGAGTGTTGTGATCTTGCTCGGAGGAGGATTCGCCTTAGCATCTGGTTGGTGAACGACGAGAAAAAGAAAATTGGTATTTTTTAAAGGAAAGGTTTCAATATTACGACCAACATAGGTGGTGATAAAATAATGAGCTTTATAGTAACTCCCTACGGCTTATCATCAGTGTCAGCATTCCACGTAGTAATTCCCATGACCGACTTTCTGTTAACCTCGGCATTAATTGATAATTCAATGTTTTTCATCAATAAGCAG